GTCCCACTTCAACCAGGTGATCATGATGAAGGAATTTGAGCGCCTCTCATCCCCACTGATAGTGGAGATTGTAAGGCGGAAGCAACAGCCACCCCCTCGCACCTCCTCAGACCAGCCCATGGACATTGGTAGGGAGCCCTTATTACCCTGCACTGTGGGGAGTGATGGATAGTGTTGGGTAAAACACTTAGGAGCCATGGAGGCCACCTGCTAAGCTCTTGGGACACGGGGTGGATCTGTGGCCATGTGCTGCTGGGCACAGGGGCAGGGATGGACAGGGGAAAGCAGGCTCCCTCACAGAATCTCCCCAGTCCCCCCAGGACTTTCCATAGCAGGCTATGCAGCAGTGAGCCTGGATTCCCTAAGCCCATTTCTGGGTTGAACATGGGTACTTCTTTCTGCCTGGACCATCACGTCTGATGGTTCAGGGTCAGTGATCAGCCACTGAACATTTGTTTTAGATACAGTGATGGTTGAGAACAGCCTCATATATTCCCAGTGCTTTCTTGTCTCCTCTCACTCTGAAAGAGATGTTACAGGCTCCTTCTTTCTCCCAATGTTCCTTGGAGCCCATGCTGACCCTTGCCACTGACTCTTGGTCATATCTGGAGACACCAGAGGTCAAGTGATAGGCCCAAAGGAGGACACAGTGGGCCAAGTTGTGGAAAATCAGATGTTGGTAGTGGCAGGCCTTGGGACTATCTTTGGAAATGCAGAGGTCCAACTAGCCTGGGGAACTGAGAGGAAAAAATAGAGACTGGAGGCTCATCTGGCCTTGGGAAGCTTTGTACAGGGCAGCCATGTGGGCTGACATGTGGAGAGGCAGTGCCTGTGGGGTCCTGAGAGTAGAATATAAAATAGCCCCTTTGATCAGAGTCTGCTTGGGGTGTGGAGGGGCCACCTGCTCAGGGTCCCTCCACATCTACATTCCAGGCACATCTCTGATCCAGGACATGAAAGCATACCTGGAGGGGGCAGGTGCAGAATTCTGTGACATCACTCTACTGCTAGATGGGCATCCACGGCCAGCTCACAAGGCCATCCTGGCAGCCCGCTCTAGGTGGGTTGAAGGCCTATACAAGAGGGCAGGGTGGAGCCCAGGTGTTGGCTTCCTTCTTCTGAGAGATGGGCATTTGCACCCCCCCCCCCCACAGCTACTTTGAGGCCATGTTCCGGTCCTTCATGCCTGAGGATGGGCAGGTGAACATCTCCATTGGGGAGATGGTGCCCAGCAGGCAGGCCTTTGAGTCCATGCTGCGCTACATCTACTATGGAGAAGTCAACATGCCGCCTGAGGACTCCCTGTATCCTCATAACTCAAGACACTCTCTGGTCAGCACTGAGGGGTCATAGTACCCGCCCTTGGGCTACTTTGGGGTCCTGTTGCCCTGTCTTGGCAAGATGGGGGTGGACCATCTCTGCATTCTAGAAGATTTCTCAGTGCCTGGTGCAAGGTGTCTAGAGCAGATGGGCAGCTGGTAGGGAGGGTTCGTATCCTGGGAGAACGGTGTTGGCCATTGTTCTCTGAAACAGGCAAGCAGGCAGATAGGAAGTGATTTCTCTTACTTCACTTCAGTGGTGTCAAAACCTTTCCCCCACTCTTTGCAGTGCTGGGTGTCTAACCTAGGGCCTCATGTATGCCAGGCAACTAACTGCTTGACCACTGAGCTACATTCCAGCTTCTTCAGTGGGGTTTGAACATGAGGTACTAGAATGCCTGTTGGCTAGTGAGGCTATGGAGAAGTTCTGCAGATGTGCATGAGAGAATGAGATTTGTGGTTTTCTTTGGATCTTGAATAAGACCTGTTTAGAGAATCAGCCAGTATCTGCATCTGGATGAAGCCCTAGCCCCTGGTATATGAGGCTCCTGAAGCACATTCCTAGGGGAGAATGGAGACAGCAGCTGGGTGGGCATATGGGCTTCCCTTGGTCAGTGGCTCCTTAACCAGCCCCCAGCTACCTTTTTGCTGCCCCCTACTACTATGGCTTCTACAACAATCGGCTGCAGGCATACTGCAAGCAGAACCTGGAGATGAATGTGACTGTGCAGAATGTGCTGCAGGTATAGCCCACCTCTCCCTCTGGGGGTAGGGGAGGTGGGACAGTGCCTCAGAGTTATTGCCATTGCAGATCCTGGAGGCCGCTGACAAGACACAGGCACTGGACATGAAGCGGCACTGCCTCCATATCATTGTGCACCAGTTCACCAAGGTCAGGGCCTGTCTTGATCCAGAGCTCATGAATTCAGCCCTCCTCATCAGTACTTCATGGAGGTGGGGGGTGCATCTGGGCTGGGCCAAGCAAACTATACCCATTGGCCACTGTCTGGTCCTCAGAGTCAGCCCAAGCCCAGAGAAGGTTGGGCCCCAAAGAACTCAGCCACCCACTTTGGCCCTTTTAGGAATCTGGTTCTGTCTCATTTTGGCATTTTGGTCATCTGTACAGGTCTCCAAGTTACCCACACTTCGGTCACTGAGTCAGCAGTTGCTGCTGGACATCATAGACTCTCTGGCCTCACACATCTCTGACAAGCAGTGTGCAGAGCTGGGTGCTGACATTTGAGAGCACCATTGGTATCAAACCAGCATGGAAAATGATGCCAGATTGGTTGGCCCACTGCAAAGATTGCTCTGGCCATTCCTGTGTCTGCAGTGTAGCTGTTCCTGTGGAGTCAAGGATCAGGGTGCTCAGAGCCTCCAAATGGAGCTCAGCAGGTGCAGGGGACCCCAAAAACCTCATTTCATTGATGTGGACAAAGGACCCACAGGGTTGGAATAGTGAAATAGATCCCCTTTTAAGCTTTACCTTTTCCTGGGTGGGAGGCCATGATTGAAGTGACTGGGACACTACAGGAGACAGGGGACCTGGGCATCAACTAGTAATGGGGAGACTAGAAGGTTAACTTCAGAGCTGGGCATGGGCTTTGGAACACTCAGCCTGGCCCCTGTGGTCTTATGGATTCAAGAGTAGTTTCCTGTTATAAGGGCCCCTCTGACATGGTGAAGGGGGCTTGGCAGAATTACTGTGGCATAAGGGAGTTCCCCTGCACACTGCCCCACAACTCTCAAGAGAAGTCCATGTAAAGAGTCCCTCTGCCCACCAGGACTTGTGAATACAGACCAGTGACAGGAGGTCTGCTCTTGACTCTGGAGACTAATTTTGGAGTGAAGAACCCAAGGTTAGTTCCCAGCACAGCATAGTCATGCTGGGCTAGGAGTGGCTTCCAGAAGGGCTGCAGATTCCCAACTCATCTCTGTGTAGGGGCAAAGCAGAAGTCAGCAGAGATGCCCCCAAGTATTTAATCTGTCATGGGCATGCTTCCATTAAAGTCAAAGCAGTGCTACCTACACACACTGTTATTGTCTCCATTACTGACCTGCGGTTCTCAACCTCTGTGCCCTCCCACAGTGCAGCACAGGCTGTGCAGCAGCCTGATGCTTTGGTTGACCCCCCAGACACAGGTTCAGCCAGCCTTGCCTTTCTATCTATATATGCCCTCCTACCACCTGGTGTCACCCAGTCAAGAGAGAGAAAAAGTATAGGAGGTGTCCAGGCTGGCCCCTCCCCAAGAGCCCTGCAGTAGGGCTCTATCTCTGTTGGGTCCCAGGGAAGGCTACCCTCTTGCCTGGGCAGGGAACTGAGGAAAGATCAGAAAATCATCCTGTTATCCAAATAGAACCCGTATCAATCCATTCTGATGGAGGAGGCTCAGTTGTGCTTTTCCAGGAACCAGAATGCAGGACCTGCATTGTCCTATCAGGAAGCCAGAGTGTACCTTGGGAAACATCTGTTCTCTTCTGACACATTTCCCTCCTCTGGTTGAGCTCCACCCAGACATGGTCCTGCCATGGGCCCCAAGTGGCTGCAAATAGGTGGAGGTAGGGTATCCTTGCAAGATAAGCAAGGAAGTGAAGGAGGTGTGGAGCAGAAGCTGAAGCAGGTGGCTAGCTGAGTGACAGTCCCTATGAAGGAGCAGCAGGCTAGAATTGAGAAGACAAGGGGCAGCCTGGGTTGGGCAGTAAGACATACCAGGTATAAATGACTCATTGTGCCAGAGTCACCTGCCAAGTTTCCACCAGTTGTAGTCTTATCATACCCCCAGGGCAGCCTTGCCAACCCTGTCTTAGAGAGGCCTGGAAGCCTCACGAACAATAATCTGTAAACTCTGCTCTATGGAGACCCTTGTAACTGGACCCTTGAGTATCTCTTCTAGGCGAGATAAGAATCAATTAAATTAAAGCAAGTATGAGAACATTGTTATGACCAGAAAGTCAGGTGTGCTCCTTGTGCTACAAGGCCAAGGGGACTAACAGGGAGAGACCATGCTGGTATTAAGAATCAGCCTATGCATTTTGCTCTTTGCCACTTCACAAAATGAAGACTTTCAAGTTCTCATTTGCTGAAGAAAAATGACACTGAGGCCAGGATCTATCTACCTCCTCTTCCCAAACTTCCAGGATCTAATTTTTTTTTCTTGCTAGGCCTCATTACTAGCCAAGCAGAGCATCCACAAGTCAGTGATAGTCATCATCATTCCCTTTTTTTTTCTGATGGAGACCAACCAAATATTAAGCAGTGCAGGGGATAGCCTTCTGACCTGCCAGGCAGGTGAAAAGAAGCTTACTGTGCCTTTGTATATTATGAATGTTCTTAAAGGGGCTGGCTTGCTTCAATCAAGATTGTTTCAAGACCCAAGTTAAAGACTGCTTGGCACTGTGCAGTGGTCCATACAGATACTGTTCTGTCCTTCAGAGAACCCTATGGGGCAATGAGTTGTATAAACAGGAGTCTCTAATACCTGTTCACCTCTGAAACACTGAAAGGGGTAGTTAGGGTCTAGAGTTGTGGCAGAGTGCTTGCCTAGCATGTATAAGAACTGGGTTCAATCCTGAGCACCACATAAATTATTACCAGCTAGTGAGGCTGGCGACCTGAGCTGGGTTCACAAGATCTGGCTGCACCAGCAACTTATGGTGAAAGAAGCATTCAACACACAGAAATACATTTTGCCTGCAGGACTCAGGGACAGTTCTCGACCTTAAGGGTCTGTTGGAAAGAGAGAACTTGCACCTAGATTCTTTATTTTAATGGGGGGGGGGGGCGGCACACAGAAGGAAGTTCCATGGAATGTTCTTTCCAAATAAGGCAAGGGGCAGGTTTCAGAGGATTGAGTCTAGCTTCCTGATGTCTTATGGTCAGCAGATTGACATCTTGGCTAGTCACAGGCACGGAGAGAGGAAAGTGCATATGTGTGTTGCACAGCCCAAAGAGCATATAACACCAGGCCAGTCCTCCCATCCACTCGAATGCTCATAGCTCACACAGTCCATGGCTCGCTTGCAACAATGAATAAATTAAAATAAAGGCATTGTGTCCATCTGCAACTAAAAAAAAAAATCTTAAAAATTAGGAACCAGGATCTCAGCTCCCCATAGCCAATCATTTTGGGTCTCTCTGGGGACTGCCAACACTGTCTGGTGGGAACAAGGTTCGAACCCTGAAGTGAGCCAGATAGCAAGACAGCCTTCTAGAATCTACTTTTATATGGTATCTGGTGGATCACATAGGTCCAATTCTGATCCTGTGCTTGGTAGACAGATAAATAAGGATGTTAGAAACTTCAGCCTTGATGGCTGGATCCTCCTTCAGATCATGCTGCTACTCATCTGCACAGCAAAGTTCTACACATGCTCCTTCAGAGTCTGGCGGATATCTGCCTGTGCCAGCTTCTGATGCAGGTTTGTCAGCTGCAGCACTGCTTCTCTGCCTGCAAGCCTGGAGCTGGCACTGGACCTTCTACAGAATATTGCCTACCTGGCAACTGGTCATTTAGAACATAGGCTCTGATGGAGGTATGGCAAGAAAGTTGAAGGGGAGATAGGATAAGGCTTGAGAGAGGGATGCTACTGTTCTGGTAAGGGCTGGGCATCTAGAGAACCTAGAAAATCTGGGAAGAGGCTCTCAGATCCTGTGAAAGAAAAAGTGGCAGGTTCTGAGGCTTTTTTTTTACAGGAAAGCAGGTGACATCAGCAGGAGGAGTTACAGAATGGAGCTGCAGAGCCCTTCAAAGCAGCTGGAGAGAAGAGAAAAAGAGACCAACAGACCACATTTCACAGCACTGACCTAATACATGAACCCCATCAGAAAATTAGTATAATAAAAACCACATCTGGGTAGATACCATAAAGCCCTCTTTCTGTCATGAGATGGGAGTAAGTGGAGGGAATCTCTGACCCACAGAATATACTGTTTCGGATATATATATATATATATATATACACACACACACACACATATATTTATATATATTTTGTACCAGGGATTGAATACAGGGGTGCTTAACCATTTAACCACTGAACAACATCCCCAGGCATTTTTTAAAATTCTCTTAAGATACTTGGGGCTCACTTTATTCTCACCAACAATTCAAGAATATTCTATTTTACACTGAATGCATTTTTATTTTTTAATATAGGGCCTTGTTAAATTGCTGAGAATAGCTTTGAACTTGGACTCCTCCTGCCTTAGCCTAATGAACTGCAGTGATTATAGGCAGGAACTACTGCACCCATCACATACCACTTCTTCCATTCTCAAATCAGGTAACTCTGGGGGCCGCTTGGAAAACTGGGCCCCTTGGTCTTGGTTATCCAGTGCAATTTGGAAAAAGACTCAGATATGGTGGGAACTGCCCCTTCCTTCAGCCTGTGATAGCCACTGTGGGGGAAAAGCAGCCCTAATGAGCTGAAGAACAAGTGCTGCCACTTGGGCCATCTCCCTCTGGTACCCAATACAGCTTCCCTAGTACTGGGGTTGTGGCAGGCTGGAAGGCACATAATAAACAAGTTTGAGAAAATGCCACGTGAGGCAGAATCCCACCAATCTCTTAAAGCTGAGATGGATGAAGCAGCTCCACCAACAGGGCTGGACAGACCAGCCAAAAAGAATTCTTTTTGTGGGCTTGCTGGGAGGCCTGGGTGAGGAACACTCCCTGGAACAGCTGTTTTTCTCTGGTGTTACTGGCAAAGTGAAACTGGGAGTGCGCTTTACTGTACACAAAGGGGAAGGGAAAGCAGCACTTTTGGAACCATGGCTGCCTGTCCACCTGGCAAGCTGTCCTCAGGGCAGCTGCTCAGGGACTGCCTCTTCAAGACACAGCTGCCCCGCTGTATACTATGCTGACACCCCACACCCTGCCCAATGCTGGCTGGCAAGGAAGCCCACCTGATTCCCACCAGCCCAAAGCAGTTCTCCTCAAAATGTTTGGAGCAGAAGTAGATGTACTCAGAGGCAGGGTCCCACAGGCCCTGGCCGCTGGGGTCCAGCCGCTGACAGTTGGCCAGCCACAGGCTACGCCTCGGATTGTCCTTCTTGGGAAGTCTGCAGAACCACAAACCCATGAGAACCAGGCTGCCGGAGCCCCTGGGCTCATGCTGTTCAAGTTCCCCAGGGAGGAAGAGTAGGCCCTGCACATGCCGCCAGGAGACCTCCCTGTGACCCTGTCGAAGAAGTACCCCCGCTACCTCTGGCACAGACCAGGAAACTGAGCCCTGGCGAAAGCAGGCAGCGCGCTCAGGGTCCGCTGGCTGGGAAGAGAAAGCACCAAGTCTAAGCCTAGTAAGGGTGGATCGGACTCGGGCGCAAAAGGTCCGCCCCCTTCGCCCGCCCACCCACATGTTCAGGCCTCAAGCGGCTTGGAGGAAGGGGAGGGACGAAGGCACCTTTGCGATTCCAGCGGAGGTCGACAAAACGCATGCGAGACGTCTCGCACTAACACGCACGGCGCCGACCTGTGGAAAGAGATGCCGCGGTTGCGCGTCTCGCGCGTTTCCCGTGTGCAGCAGCCGGCGGCCGAGCAGTGGCGCGGCATCTGGGGAAGAGGCGGGAGCTTGGTCGCTGGCGGCCGTCCGGCCCCCGGAGTGGCTTCATGACCCCAGCTGTCACGCCCTCCAGGGAAAAGTGTCTCGGAGGGACCCCAGTAGCCCGATCTCGGACCAAACCTGTTCCAGCCCGTTTTCCTTGAGTTCTGTCAGCGGCACTCACAGTCCCGCTATTGCTGCGTAGCGGAATTCTCGCGAGTAGTGGCGCTTAACGGGCGCGAACGGCTCTCGCGAGCAGGGGTGGGGGGTGGGTGGGTGCCGAAAGAGTTTCCCAGCCAGCTGGCGCTGGAAGCAGCGGGCTTTGTCGGGTGTCGCGCCTGCGTCTTCCGGTTAGGACCCTGGGATGCGCTTCCCACTCCTGGGATGCTCGTCCCACTCCTGGGTCTTTCCAAAGGCCAGCTCTTCGTAAACGCTCCACACGTTTGAAGGGGCTTCCTGGTGCTGGTCCGTGCTGCGTGTCCACGATGCCCCGGGATCCTCGAAAGCCCGCCGTCACGCAAAGGAAGGACTCCCTAACTCAAGAAGGCTCTCGCGCACACAAACGGGTCCAGGACTCTTGCGAAGAAAAACAACCCACCGGAACCCTCTGCTCAAACTTGACACCATCTTTCCGGGGGCGAGGGTTTGAGGGAGTGCTTGCAGGCTGTGGCTCTTGAGTACACTTTGGGTAATTCTGGAGGTTCTGTTGTCTCCCACAGCGGCATGCGAGCAGTGGAGGAAGGCTAAGAACGTATGTGGAAAAGGAAGTTAAGAACTGGGTTGACACAGCCCTAGGCGAAGTCCACTGCACCCCGAATGATTACTGGGTGAAACCCTTCACGATGTTGGAGGAAACAGACATCAGTGTGTCTGCCAGACAAGAATGCCACGAAGGACTAAAGAGAATGCTCAGATTGAAGACATTGATAATTCCCTTAGGAAGCCCTTCCGAAGCCTTTCTGGGAGGAATGCAGTACTTAAGCATACAAACGTGCCTACCAATTCTCTAAAAGAAACAAAGGGATATATTTTCTCCTGAGGAATCCACTGGCAAAAGCGGGCCTCTAGACAGGCAGTTTGATCAAAGTACAGCACACAGAACAAATAATGCCTCAATAAACAAATTTTAATAGGTAAATATATCCTGTAAATGTTACAGTGTGCGCGCCCAGGAGAGAGAGTGAAAGGGAGAGTTGCTGCCAGTCATACCCTCCCAGTCAGTATTCTTCCCCTTCTTCAGCCTCTGCTTCCACAGAATCCACGCCCACCTCTTCATAATCCTTCTCCAGCGCTGCCAGGTCCTCTCGGGCCTCTGAGAATTCCCCTTCCTCCATGCCTTCGCCAACATACCAGTGCACAAAGGCCCGCTTGGCATACATGAGGTCGAACTTATGGTCCAGGCGGGCCCAGGCCTCCGCGATGGCAGTGGTGTTGCTCAGCATGCACACAGCCCGCTGCACCTTGGCCAGGTCTCCTCCAGGCACCACTGTGGGGGGCTGGTAGTTAATGCCCACCTGCCAGGGAAGAGGAACAACAAGAGTGAAACTGATGTAGGTTTCACATATGATGGCTTATTGAAAACTGGAGCACTGATCCCAGTTTAAACAATGCCCTGGCCTGGGATTGTATGTAGCTCAGTGGCCCTGGGTTCTAGCCTCAGCACCACATAAAAACAAATAAATACAATAAAGGTTAAATCTTAAAAATAGTGCCCTGTAGAAATTGGTACTAGCATTTTGGCATAAACTGTCAACATTTAACCATACTGCTTTTAGATTCACCCACAGGACAGCATAAAATAAGATGTTTCAGTTTTTTTTTAAACCTTTTGTTTTTTTTAATGTGGTGCTGAGGATTGAACCCAGTGCCAAACTTGTGCCAAGCAAGCACTCAATTGCTAAGCTGCAACCCCAGTCTGATGTTTTAGGGATTTTTTTTTTTAATTTTTTAATGAAGGTATTTTATTTATTTATTTTTATATGGTGCTGAGGATTGAATGTGTGATAGGCAAGCGCTCTACTGCTGAACCCAAACACCAGCCCTATGTTTTAGGTTTTTAAGTACAGAGCTGAATCTTTTTTCTAATGGAAAAACTAGAAAGGATCGTCCATTTATAAGCAACCAGTTCAGTCATATTACATCTCTAAAGTAAAACATGAAAAGAATGAGGGCTGGGGTTAGAGCTCAATGGTAGAGCACTTGCCTAGCATGTGTGAACCACTGGGTTTGATCCTTAGAACCCCATTTAAAAAAAAAGCATTCTGTCCATCTCCCAACAACAAAAAACATTTATTAAAAATGCAATATTACGGGCTGGGGTTGTGGCTCAGGATTGAGCACTCACCTAGCACATGCAAGGCCCTAGGTTCGATCCTCAGCACCATGTAAAAATAAATAAAATAAAGGTATTGTGTTAACTACAATTAAAAAATAATTTTAAAAAAACAATATTTCGGGGCTGGGGTCATGGCTCAGCCTACCACGTGCAGAGTCCTGGGTTTGATCCTCAGCACCACATATATATCAGTAAAATAAAGGTATTGTGTCCAACTACAACTAAAAAATAAATATCTTTAAAAAAACAATATTACTTAAAAAACAAAAGAAAGCAAGAAAAATGAATTGAGAACCCAGTTCAGGTATATCAATTGCCTAGGGTTTGATGTATAGTCATTAAAGAAAACAGTTGAATTTTATGTAGTTAAGTGTGTGTGGGGAGTGGGAGAAAGAAACAAACCTATGTGGTCAGCATTAAACTCAGAGTACAGCCTCAGAGGCTACTGGAACATGCTCTGAAACTGAAGCACATGAATACCTGGGATTGTGTTGAGTCAGTGACCCTACACTACCCTGTGAACAGAAGTAGTCAGCAGGAGCTCTACACAAAGCTAGGCTCCAGAGGCTTTAGAAGGGGTAGAGGGAAGAGCACAGGAGCTCAAACTCTTGATGGAGGGGTTGCCCTCCCACAACTTTAAAGCCCAGCCAACTAGCCCTTGTAAGTGGCAGTGCTGCCAGATTTCCTATTCTGTGTGGCCACTTGTATGCAGGAATTTGGGTCTGCCACCTACAGGGAAGGAACATGCATCCTTTGCCCATGTCTGTGACCTCTCTGTCAGCCAGCATCATCTGTATAACAAGAGGCATACCATACCTGAAATAGGCAAAGACATCTCTTAAAGGACAAAAAAGCTCTGGAGAAGGGGAAGAGGATTTCAGCTTTTCAGCCTTCTACCTTGTTTTAATATTTTGCCAGTGATTTTGTAGTATAAAAAGGCCAAATGATGGGGCTGGGGTTGTGGCTCAGCAGTAGAGCACTTGCCTAGCACGTGCAAGGCCCAGGGTTTGATCTTCAGCACCATATAAAAATAAATAAATAAAATAAAGGTACTGTGTCCAACTACAACTAAAAACTAAATAGTAAAAATAAATAAATAAATAAATAAATAAATAAATATATATATATATATATATATATAAAAAATAAAATGGGTCAGGGCTGTGGCTCAATGGTAGAGCATTTGCCTAGCATGCGTGAGGCACTGGATTTGATTCCTGGCACCACATACAATAAATAAATAAAAACAAAAGATGTTGAGTATTAAAAAATAAAAGCCAAATGGTTTTAATGGAAGAGACTCCTTGAAAATAGTGTATCCCTCAGCAAATTGTTGCAAAAGAATGGGTGCCAAGTCGTACTCTGACAAAAAAGAACTTAGAGCAAGGAGAATTCAACAAGGCCCACCTGGTGCCAGATGGTCTTCTATAAGAGGACAGCAGAGGCTATGACACACTTTACTACAGACTTGCCTCCCTGCTGTCTCTTAGAACAACTCAGCTAGGACAGCAAACCTAGGCAAGCATCCTGTACATGCCCTGCCAACTGAGGCTGCTTTATATGTCCTCAACTCCCAAATGTCACACTTACTGGAAAAATATTCTTGCTGTTCAATCCAAAGGCTTAAAAATTAGAAACAGAATGGAAAGTTTCAACAACTACCTGTAACCTCTAACTAGCGTCTGCTATCCCCTGTATTACATTTGATGACTACTTCAAGGTCAGCAAAGTCTGTAGTAAATTTTACCTGCTTCTATGAGTTACTTTAAACATGTCAAATTAAAAATACCCTATTACCAATAATCTGTGTGCAGATGTCTTTGTGAACTGGGGCTGAGAACTTTCAAAACGCTTCCTATAGTAATAGGCAAGCCATGGCCATTCCACACCAGAAGAAGATGATTAACACACATTCCGTTTTCAGTCTGGAATGACCCTGGAACTTTACCTCCCCCAACACCTCAGGAACTCATCAGGGCTTACAAATGTCGGGGCCAGTTGGGCTTGGTGGAGCACACCTGTAATCCCAGCAACTTGGGAGGTTGAGGCAGCAGGATTCAGAGTTGAAAGTCAGCCTTAACAGTTCAACGAGTATATAAGCAACTTAGGGAGACTCTGTCTCAAAATAAAATACAAAAAGTGTTGGGGATGTGTCCCAGTGGTTAAGAGCCACTGTGTTCAATCACTGGTTCCTAAAAAAAATTGGGGCCCAGAGCTTTGTCTAAATGGAAAACTATTGTAAATAAGGACTGATATCCACAAACCAGAGGGTAAAGAGTTGAGGAACACAGGTATGGGGAAGCATTTAGTCTGATAATCCAACAGGTGTTACAGCCTGAGAGTCTAGGATGGCTTCCACATACATGGTGCTTTCCTCATAGTAGTCGTTAAACATGGCTAAGGGAACCTTGAAAATTTCATTGTGATTTTGTATATGAGACAGAGATCCCAGCCTGGTTTGGGGAGATAAGAGCAACCTACCCTTTTCCCCATACTTAAATGCTTAGGGCTGGGGATGTGGCTCAGTAGTAGAGCGCTTGCCTCATAGGAATGGAGCACTAGGGTTGATCCTCAGCACCACTAAATAAATAAATTAGGAATTGTGTCCATCTACAACTAAAATTTTTAAAATAAAAAAACACTGAGATACAGGTTTAACAATCCATTCACAAAAAACATAAGTAATGCCTAAAATTCAGAGACAACAGGTGACCAACATCAAGTAAAGTAAAAATCTACCATTTGGACCAACCAAAATGGAATCATAGGCCCTGACAAATGTCTAAAGCCAGCAGTGAGGTGAGGGAAATCATATCAGGATCTGCTGTCAGACTATCTCTAAATTCTCCTTCCCATTACTTGAAGGCCCCTGAGGCTTTGGACACTTAAAGGTGTCTCAGCCTCAGTCTTCTAAACTATTAAGAAACTGGTAACGCAAACCTCACCATCAACTTTAAAGCATGGTTTTAAGAAAGGAGTGCATAGAATGAATGTATTTGATGAAGTATGAGGCTATTAGCTAATCAATTACTAAACCTGTTCTCCTTGCAGTCTCATTAACATGAAAAGAGGCAATCTCCCTGAAGGAGGTGTGCCTTTAGGGTCAGCACCATGCTGCTCCCTGACTAGCATGGTGACTAAAAAGTACCAGTCCTACCTTAAACCCTGTGGGGCACCAATCCACAAACTGGATAGTGCGCTTGGTCTTGATGGTGGCGATGGCCGCATTGACATCTTTTGGGACCACGTCCCCCCTGTACAACATGCAGCAGGCCATGTACTTGCCATGGCGAGGGTCACACTTCACCATCTGGTTGGCCGGCTCAAAGCAGGCATTGGTGATCTCGGCCACTGAGAGCTGCTCGTGATAGGCTTTCTCCGCCGAGATGACTGGGGCATAGG